ACGTACAAAAGCTCTAAGGGAAGCGGCACTTAGAGCTTTATAAGCACAGATTGACAATACAGGGAATGGGTAACTATCTCATGGAGTTTCCCAAAATTGTCCTGATGGCCCGCAAGGCTTCTAACTAAAACACCTCCCTTGTCTCCTTTCAGTGGGCCAATATCTGAAGAATAATTATATTGTTTTATCTCCAAATATGTGCATAAATATAAACATGCAAAAGCAGGAAGTGACTGAAAAGATGAGCTGAACCAAACTGTTGTCCCATGACTTGGATTAAAGGCTAACATGGGCCCAATCATCCTCACAAGAGGATCACCATACATGCAGTGTTTCCTACAGAGGGGTGTGAGGAGAAAGGTGAAGCATGGTAACATTACAGAATTACCAGAATTCATGACCAAAGAAGCTAACAAAATCCTATTTTCAATTAGCACAGAGACACAAAACCTTGAAATTTCCCAAAAATTTCCTCAGAGCATGAGTTCACTTGTTAGAACATTTAAGAATCTTTTCCCCTTTTACTCATATCCCTTTACAGAATACAGCTCTTTCCCAAAGAGAGTAAATTTAGTACCAAATAATTGCTTCGTCACTGTCAATTGTGTCATGTTAGCTCAATGGTGGCAGTATACATCCCCTTTATGTGTGGTGCATGCTGCACACAGAAATAAACTAACAATGACACACAAGTGCCCTTTTAGAGTTAGAATTTATATAAGGCTATTTTACATCTTTCAACTATGCCACACATAAAGATGGCTATTTATAATTATAATTATCCCCTCATTAGCTTGACATTTAATTTTCCTTGCCCTATGGCACCCTACAGTTGAAGGCAAGGAAAACTCTGGGTTGATTAGTTATTTAAGACCAGCAACAATAACTATGCTGGAGAGAAGGCTACTTGGAGAGGATTATATAAGACCTAGCACTCAACGGCCACAGACAGAGAACAGCAAATTATAAACCCGACTACTTCATTGCATGTAACCAAATGGGCTAGTTGAAATGCTAATTGCCTTTCAGGAAAACCAAAGACAGACAGGGGACCTTGTGCTTCAGAGAGTGCAATGCGTTTTCACTCCACGTCCGTACCCTTGGCTTGCTGGGAATTATTTGAAATCTATTCATAAAGGTAGCTGTTTCCATAACCTTTAAGATGTGGGAAATTTACTTAGTCCCCCCCACACCCCCCCCACCCCCCCCCACCCCCCCCCACCCCCCGCCAGCCCGGCACTTCAGATAACGCGGATGTGCCAAGATGTGAAGAGACCATTGGCTCAAAGCCACGTTAAGCCCCTAATAAAGAAAACATGAAAGGAGTCTGTGCTCAAGTATGTGACATAAACTGAGAAACTTTACCTAGGGAAAAGTTTTGAATAACAAACTCATGAAATTAATTTTTAAAAAAACTATCTTTAAAACACTTTTTAAATGTAATTACACTCGTAGGTACAAGGAGAGTGCTCTCAGTGCCTCTCTTTTAGAGAACCCAGCCTCCTTTTATAACCTGATAATTTTGTATTATTCCAAATTTCATTTATGGACAGTTACTCCAACAGTCACTATCTCCCTATTATGTGAAGGCTTCACTCTAGGTGTTCAGAGTCACTAACAGTGAGTGAGAAGTGTCCTCTAAGCATCTTGCCCTCCCTTTGAGGTACAGCCAGACTTCCGCCCGACTGCACAAGAAAAGAGCCTGTGACCACCTGCCCAGCAGCTGGGGGTGACTTGGTCTGGTACATTTTAAAGTGGATAGTGTGTCACAGTGGAGTCAGAAAACACAGCCTTTGTGCTGCAAGCTTCCAGGGCCCCGGCTCTACCCTGCTCTGCTGCCCCACCATCAGGCCAACAGAGCTGGGGTGCTGGGACTTCCTTCCTGTGTGGCCTGACAACCCGGCTTACGGGGAGCCCTCCCTATACACAAAGATGTTGCTTGTGCATGCCAATGGAGAAATCAATTTCTTGTATTGTTCTGCACGGTTTGTTAGCAATATGCTTATTTTCATTTCCCAACGTTTATTGATATATCTGAATGGGAACGACAGAACACTAAGACTAAACTGAACTTTAAGCCATAAACGATTTTCAATAAATTATGGTGCTCTCACCCTGATTCAACAGGAGTTAGCAGGAGAATAGCATCTCAGTGGTTTTCTCCAGTGTTTAATGAGGCAGGTTATGGTGACTTGTATTCATTACACTGTTTGAACTTCCCACATGATTTTACGTTGTCTTGACTATTGTATAACCTAACAAAACTATGGCTGGAGCTCAGTACACTGTGGCATCTGTGAGTCAACGACCCACCTCCCAGAAAGCAAAAGCTGTGACTGCACCCTGCCTGTTTCATCCTTCCAGCCTAAGCACAAACCGTTGTTGCAGACAGACAGACAGACAGCAGGGCATTGCTTCAGCAGATGAACAACTTTGCCACACCCTATACTAGAGGACGGAACAACAGGTGCTGCACTTCAAGATTTTCTTTCTAATGGGCACAAACTTGACAGTTTTTTTTTTTGATAAAAGGGCATCAATATAAAAAGGCTATGCATGGAGTGACATCTGTGAATGACAATAAATTAATGAGCAAGTTTACCCATTGAGGCATGTCAGTTTACAGATGAAGGGATTGCCCAGTTGGCCGAAATGAAAATAGAATGTGTGACCTTAACTGGTTCTCAACTTTTCTGAGTTCTACTTTCTTCACATACAAATTAAAAGGAGCCTGTCCAGTTTGGCTCTAAGGCTTTTCCTGGTGCTTCAGGAGTTCCTCTGTTCCTCCCACAGAGATTAAGACAAGAAAGTATTTTAGCAGGTGGAGAAATTCTCCCACGACACAGATGTTTCTGCCTTAGTTACTTCTGGAAGTCAAAATCATAATTTGTGGCTAATTATAAAGTTAATCTGTTTAAAGAGTGTAACAGAATTCCTGGCATATTGCATGCGGGGTAAATGCAGCACACCATCCCCATTCATCATGAGAATGTAAACAAAGCGTTCAGTCACAGCTAACTGCTGTGACTCCCCTTCTCCCACGGCACAGCGTCCCTCATTGTCTTGAGCATGGGCACCTCCAAGGGGAAAGACAGCTGATATTCTTTGGTGTAACATGACCTTCTGCTCTTTCACATTATTTCTAACAATTATTTTTATTTCTATAAGAACATTTATACCCCCAAATACTATCTCATATTATTATTCTATGACATTTAAATACAATAGGAATTCACTAGCATGAAATTAAATTATTTTCTTAAATAGTGTGAATTTTAACTAACACATTATTCCTACATCTGAGGCCATCAAGACTTGATGTTCTCACATGGTTAGACTTTGTCTCACTGTGGACACACAGTATAGTCCAATTTCTTCAGTCTATAGGCAGATTAAACTTTTGTTCCTAATATTCAGCATAATGTAGGTGTGAAGAGTACTCAAGAAAGACCATTGATTAGGTCTTAATAACTGAACATTTGAAGCAGAGATCTTGAAAGCTAGCCTCAGTGACATTGTCTTGGAATTAGGATAACACTCTCCAGTTTATGATAGTGATAGGTCAAATAAGATCTTTATAAAGGACTTCACAGTGCTCACCATATAATGTCTTTCAATAAAGAATTATATATAATATATAATATATATATATATTACATATATCCATCATGGAAATCTAATCATTCAATCATATTTTGCTTGGGTGCATTATATATTGCTTGGTTTGTTTTTTTTTTTAAGATACATTTTTGAGTGATGTAATGTTTAGCTGGACTAAATCTTTGCAATCACCTATTCCAATAACTTTATTTTATAAGTGAAGAAACCAAGATCTAGAAGAACATTTTCATGGTTTTTATGTCCAAAGTGATTGTAAGTTGTGGTAGCACCAGAATGTAATACCTAATCACATGCATTTATTTTAACAATTCAGAATGTATTTGTAAACTTGTGAGAGTTTACTCTGTAACCTAGGAAACCGCCCAGCACTCAACTCTGGTACCCACGTCCTGGTAAACATCTACTCCTGCTTTTCTTCTTTACTGTCTTCGCCTCTTTGTTTCTTTGATGTAGTTCTTTTATTAAACGGCACACAAAGGAAGAACGTTCACTTCAGGAATAGAAGGTGGTTGTAACTCTCACAGGAATTTTTCAAGCAGCGCTAAACCAGTTAAGCGCTTTTCCTGTCAGGAATTAAAATCTTAATACCAGTTTCTAAGAATGTGCAGCTTACTTAGAAACACATTGTGTACATTTTTAAACAAGACTATAGATTTTGTAAAAAGGTGGCTTACACAAGTTATATACAAGTTAATGTTGCACTTTAAAGTTATTCTCCAATAAAAACAAAGTAGTCAGGAAATTTAAAATATACAAGATATATGTGTATATACATATACACATGTATAATTTTTACACTCTAGGCTAATTTCAGACTCCTTGACAATAATATATTTTTCTGAAATTTCCTGATGCAGTGAGTATCTGGGAACATCAGCAAGACTCCTTAAATTTACCTCGGTCTTCCATGAAGAAGTTTTATCGACCGCGTGCAGCTCTTGACCAATTATTTTTCTGGGCCAACTTTGAAACTAGACTTTAGGTTTCAATTGGGCAGAAAGAGAAAAAACGGAAACTTCACTCTGCTCATTCCAGGCTCCCCTTCTCTGAGATAGCAGCTTTGGGGGCAGCTATGCAAAGCCGCAGCCTTGTGTGGACGGCAGGCACCGGGCAGCTGTCCCGTTACCCGCTGCCCGCCACCAGCCTGTCCGAGCCACCACGGCCCGCCCGCCCTCCAGCTCGCCCGCCCTCCAGCTCGCCCGCCCGCCCTCCAGCTCGCTCGCCGGCTCGCCCGCCCGCCCTCCCGCTCGCCCGCCGGCGCTCGCTCCCACCTCCAGCAACAGGTGCAGCAGCGGCTGCTCGGGAACCGCCTATAGGATGCTGTCGCGCTCTCCGACCCACTGGATTTCCCGGGGCACCAACCCCAAGTCATATCCTACCTGGCTCTGGGGTCCCCGCCAGTGCCGGGCCTCCCTTCCCACAGCCAGCGCCGCCCCTCTGCAGTGTCCCCGTCCTCCGCCGCTAATCCTTTCCCGCACCGTCCTGCAGGCTTGGGGCTTCACACCCACCCCGTCTCCCCCACACACACCCCTCTCCCCGGTTCCTCTGCTCCAATAGGACTTCTCCCCGGGGCTGGGCTCACCTGATCGGCCGAGCGGGGGTGGCCGCGCACGGCAGCGCGCCCTCCTCTGCGCAGCGGGCAGCCAGGTCGCACTCTGGCGCCGCGAACCCCCCGCCTTGGCCATGGCTAATGGACTCTTCCAGCCGTGGGCGCCGAGGCTGACCTGCCTGAGCGCAGGAGCGCCTGTCCCAGCACCGTGCTCGCCCCGCGGATCCCAGGGCGCTGGACTTTGTAGTTGCCCCTAGGGTGCAAGGACCAGTGGCTGAGCGAGTCTTCTTTCCAAGAGAATCGTGTTTGCCCAGTCTTGCGCCCTTCCCAAAAGGATGTTTCTTTTACCATCGATTGAAGCCTCTCTCAGACGTTCACTCTGAGCATTCACTAGTGAATTGTAGCAATGAAAGCTGTATCTCTGCAAAGGCTTACGAAGGGAGGGCTCAGGTCCACATCTGCGTCATCTCATGAAAACTGTATTCACACCTACCTCACCGCTTCAAGGATTAAGGGAATCCGGTGATGTCTGAAGTGCATCTCTACAGCACACGGGGCACGTAGTTTTTGTTTTGTTTTTTGTTTTAAGTCGTCATTCCCCCCCCAACCCCCAGACTTAGACATGAAGGCCTCAGAGTATTGATCAGCCATGGGCGTTATTAGAACAAATGCAGCGTCTTTCTAAAACCACTAAAACTTAGATCCCTAGTCCAAACCTCTGCCTCTACTTTTCTTTTTTTTTTTTTTTTTTCTTTTTTTTTTTTTCTTTTTTGGTTTTTCGAGACAGGGTTTTTCTGTGCAGCTTTGCACCTTTCCTGGAATTCACTTTGGAGACCAGGCTGGCCTCGAACTCACAGAGATCCGCCTGCCTCTGCCTCCCAAATGCTGGGATTAAAGGCGTGCGCCACCACTGCCCCAATGAGAGAAGCAAATTTAAGAACAGATTGAGTGCCCGGCGGTAGTGGCGCACGCCTTTAATCCCAGCACTCAGGAGGCAGAGGTAGGTGGATCTCTGTGAGGCCAGCCTGATCTACAAAGTGAGTTCCAGGAAAGGCGCAAAGCTATACAGAGAAACCCTGTCTCAAAAAAACCAAAAAAAAAAAAAAAAAAAAGAAAAAGAAAAAAGAAAAGAAAAAAGAAAAAGAACAGATTGAGTGGCTAAGTGAAATATAAAGAGAGTCAGGTCGAGGATCCTAGGTGCCTTGTCAATTAATCTAAATAGAATAAACTTTAAGTAACAAACTGTGATCCGGGGCTACTAAGGTATTATGGACTGTTGCTGAGCGTCTCATCTCAAGATTGCAAAACTCATCAAAGGCAACATTAGGCAAAACAGTCCTTGTACACAAACTGTGGGAGCTGGAAATGGCCCCCAGCATGGCCCTACAAAAAGTAAGAGCAACCTGGAATATCAAAGCTCCTGAAGGACCTTGCATAGGCGTCACTACAAAGACTAGAACTGCTTCTAGAAGTGGCAAATGAAGCAGACACAGATAGGCATGCTTACTCAGTTCTGCAGCATAATAGCAAGAGTTAAAATAATGGCTGTTATCCAGATAATCATAATGCAAAACAAAATAGTAAAATTAGAAAACTGTTTTGGCTTGGTTTGTTTTGCTGATTACTGAAAATGTTTCAAACTCGGTCCTTGTAGGTCAAATAGTCTTAGTCCTTATTTCACTAAGCCTTATCATTAAGCACAACATGCATATTTTCTCTGGGAATGACATTTTCCTAACAGCAAAATGAAAATTTATTCTCTTAATTCCTTTACTTCAGGAAGTAAGTGATTCACTAACGATAATCATTGAGTGTTTAGGATACAGAAGAAATTGGAAGGCACTGTGGGAAAAAACAGCAATCACAGATATGGTACTGAATTAATTAAGCTTTGCATCCTTGAAATGCAAAGGTGAAAATTCAGTCAACTCAAAATCAGAATATGATAAAAAAAAAAAAAATGCAAAGCCAAAAGCTTCCCAGGCCAGGAAGTTTCCACCATGTCCGAGAGGTTTCCACCAGGGCAACAAGACACTGGAGCCAGTCAACTTAGAAAGAGAAAGGCTTTGTTTGGGCTCGTTTTCTGAGGTTCCCACCAATGATCTGTTGGCCCCATGGTTTTAGATCTAAGTTAAGGTAGCACACAGCAAAAAAAAAAAAAAAAAAAAAGAGGGGCTGGAGATGGCTCAGCCGTTAAGAACACCGACTGCTCTCCCAGAGGACCCGGGTTCAATTCCCAGCACCCACATGGCAGCTAACAACTGTCTGTCACTCTAAGATTTGACACCCTCACACAGACAAAAACATACAGGCGAAAACAGCAATGCACATAAAATAAAAATGAATAAAGAAAATTTAAAAAAAAAAAGAAAAAGAAAAAGAAAAGTCTACAGTAGAACCAGAGAACAAAACAGAAGAACAGTGCAGCTGGCTTACCCGTAAGGTACATTCCCAATGACTCAAGGAGACCCTGCAGACCCTCTCAAAGATTCTCCCACCTCTTGAAGATGCCTCTGGGGACCAAGTCATTGCCACATGGGCCTTAGGGGACATCCAAAATCCGAACTACAGCAGATGTTCTAAATGAGAAGAAGTATATTGGTTTTCCTAGAAGCTCATTATCTGCCTAGACAGAGCAAACCACAACACAAGGGAGAGCTGTGATGTTTAGCATTCTGGCCACTGGACTTCAGTCCACACTCCTGACATCGACCCACCGGCCCTGCGTGCGTGCACGTGCGTGCGTGCGTGCGTGCGTCTGTGTCTCTGTACCCCAGCCCACCGCCTCTTTCTCTGCCTGTTTCACAGTATTCCCAACACACAGCAGGATCACTCCTACCTCAGAGCCTTTGCACAAGGTTCGCCCTCTGCTTGGCACTGTTCCTGGAGATCTTCTCATGGGTGGTTCCCACCATTTAAACATGTTTCTGAGCCTCAACCACTATTTACAACTTACAGAGACTTTGTTCTTTGTGTCCTGCATTGATAAGGAAAGAGGGAAGGAAGGAGGGAGGGAAAGCGGACCAGTGGGGATTTGGAAGGAGCCCTGAGGAAGAATGTCGGAAGTTCTGAAGACAAAAAGCCTGAATTCCCAATTCTGCTTGACAGCAGTTCTGATGGAGAATAGGCCTTTTCCCCATATTAGTGTTCATCAAATCAATTTAGTAACTCTGATCTTTAAAGCAGTTAAATCCATTAAAAAATATTGATGATGCAACGTTCTTTCCCTACTGCAATTTAGTTAATCCTGCATAATAGATAACCCCTATAACTCTGCTCAGTCAATCTTTTTAGGCTCCAGAAAAGGATAACCCCGTGTGGGGCTTGGGGGGCTGTTCACAGGATAAGTGCATGAAGAACTTTGAGCACAGCAGCTCGAACAAGCTCGAGAAGGGTTTGGTTTGGTTTTTGTCTTCTTTTACCCCCCCAAAGCAGAATTAGGCTATTGCTTCAAGCACGTCCAACTGTGCTAAAAGCTCCTTACACAGGAAAAGGACGATCCAGAGCCTGCCACAGCTGAGACTCTTCCTTTCGTGCTTCCTTGCAGGCTTAGAACCATCCTTCTCCCTGGAACCTGAAAATGAAGTAGCTGGCCCCTCCAAATGTGTCCTCTCACATGCAGGGGAGTGAAGGTCTCATTAAGTTTTACTGTTTACTGTGTTTGAACTCTGAAATGGGAGAGAAACAGAGCTTAAATCGAGTTCCCTAAGGTCAACTTTTGGCTGACCTGAGCAGATCTTGTCCGCTGGACCTGGGATCTGAGGGCCTGAGAGAATGGAATGGACTAGAGTCTAACACTGTAGACAAGCTTCCTCTTGTATAATAGTAAAAGGACCAGCCTTAATATTACACTTCCCAGGGGCTCAGACGAGAAAACTACAAACGGCAAGAATTATTTTCGGGAAATGAATCTTAAGTACAACAAGCTCTTTGTCCATCTACTTTATTCCTCTGAGATAAAATCCTGTCTACACAGCCACAGTTCTGTACTCAAGCCTAGCTCCTTTCTTGCCTGACTTCTCTCTACCTTTATCTGCTGCCCCCTCTAGGTTCTGTCTTATTCTCTCGTTAGTTCTTCCTCGTCTAGGTCCTTCTCATCTCGTTCTTACCCAGCTAGTACTTCCCGGCTTTTCCTCATCTTCCATCTCATCCACACATTCTCTCCGGTCAAAATCCTCCTTATCCCTCTCAGTTCTCCATCCTCAAGTTCTCCACTCCTCTCTTCCTCTCCATCTCCTTATACCTCTAGATCCTCTCAAGTCTCTGAGGTGTTCAGTTATAAACCCAAGCAATAGTGATCCTCTGCCAGAGCAAGGTCATCAGGCTTGAATTTTTACTGGGCTTACTGGGTCATAAAGGTAGGTGAAAATTTTCCTCAGGCAGTGGCCCTCGGGCTTTCTTTTACAACCCAAAATGGGAGTGGTAAAAGAGGAGGTCAACTGAGTGCTAATGACCGGTTAGTATATCAAAAAGGGGATCTATGTGCTCAGTCTACATTCCTAGAAGTGGTTAGGTAAGGAGTTAGGGGTCTATTAGTAAGGTTGTATAAGAAAGGAGGGTCTCACCCTAAGTTGCACAAGAAATAAAGCTATCTGCCTGACCTGGAGACAGGTGTTGTTTCGTTTGGCCTTGGATGCTTGATAGGCATTTTAGATAAATACACTGTTAGGAGTTCTAGGAAGCATGCATAGCATTACAAGAAAATCACTGTAGGAAACAGCTAATATACATGCAAAAGCTAAAATATCACCAAGACTTCTTAAGCCATGGCTTGACCTTTGGAAGAGTCCTTGACTTTTCTAAGGAGTAGCTTTTGTGATAGTAGCTGAGTTCCATTATGTTTTCCTGCGGCTTGCAGCAGCTTACTTCAGTTTCAGTGTTCTTTTATACACAAATGAAACAGAGAAAGTGTGATCCAAGGA